ATTCTAAGACTCATAGTTTTCCCCATTTTAACAATATGAAATTGAGTGAAGTCTTCACACTTGATGGCATCTCTTTCAGCAAAGCAGCAACCCTGATATATTTGTTTGCCTGTGTATTCATACATATAATCTTGGCTGTTCATCTTGTCATCGCTTCATTTGAAGTATGAACATTGTTAACTTTGTCATGTTAATTTTAATGGTTGCTTGACATGTCTTCAGAAATTTTCTGTGAATCAGCGTTAAAATAAAGTTACTCGGTATGGAGAAACATATGAAAACAGTTCATAATGGTAAGTGATTAATGTGGTTAAAGTCTGTTTAGATAAGTAAAAACCAGCTGGGTGTGTTGGCTCACACCTGTAATCATAGAACTCTGGGAGGCTGAGGTGGGTGGATCATCTGAGCTCAGGAGTTCAAGGCCAGTCTGAGTAAGACCCAGACCCTGTCTCTACTAAAAATAGAAAAACTAGCCAGGCATGGTGGCAGGTAGCTGTAGTCCTAGCTACTCAGGAGCTAAAGCAAGAGGATTGCTTGAGCCTAAGAATTTGAGATTGCTTTGAACTCTGATGCCATGACACTGTACCCAGAGTGTCAGAGTGAGACTCTGTCTCAAGAAATAAATAAACAAACCAACAAATAAATAAGTAAAAAACAAAAGACCTTGAAATCAGTATGAAATAAAACTAAATGATAGAGCTGTGTACCATGATGCATTTGGAGGCATTTCCTCTCATATCTTTATAGCACATAAGCAGTGGTGTCTTACAATCAGTGGCACCTTAAATTTGATGAAATATGGTAACATTAACTTAATATTTTATTTGTATGTAGTGGCATTCGTCATTAGTTTTTCATTTTATATATCAATATGATTCTGTATATAGAAACTAAATATTTGTCCCCTCCCCCCAAACAAAGCCACAGAGGAAAAAGAGAATTTCAGTTTGGCACTGTATTTTCTTTGTGAATTGAAATTACACTGTTGGGTGATCACTTACTCTTAGATTTTGTATGTTTTGCTGTAGTCCCTTTCCTTTGATTGATAGGAGAGTGAGGACATCTATTGGACAAATGCTGAATTACAGGAAAGATTAGATTTATACTTGGAGCCTGGCCGCATGGAGTTTCAACCAACTTTACAGGGTGATCCTGTTACATACCAAAATTTGATCCTCAACTTTGGTTCTCAGTTTTTTGGCAGAAAATAGCTAAGTTGGATGAAAATTTTTTGATCTTCAGTCCATATGCATACAAAGCATTGTCTAGGGGCCAACTAAATAATATATTTCAGTATATGCTCCTATTTTTAAAAAACATAGACACTCTTGTGAAAAATAAAATGTAACGTTTTAAAACATTATTGCAGTCTGCCAGATTTTTGTCATGTCAACAAACTTTATAAGTGTTATCATATTAGGGTTTGCAGAAACATTTGAGGCTAACAGTGCTAATAAATAGAATCTAATAAATAGATTCTAGGCTAAGAATTCTGACTCTAACTAGCTCAACTGATGAATGCCTATCAGTGTTATTGGGGACTGAAAAGTATAAGCAGAGGAGATTGAGGAAAAACAGATACATAGAGAAAAAAAATAGACAATGAATAGGAGGAACTAAAGAAATAGAGGTTCCTATTGTAGTGATTTTGGAAAAATGAAAATAGTCTCATACCTTTTTGAAAAACTTATTTTTTTATAGTACTTTGAGTTGCTGTTTTAATTCATACCTTATTTATTCAGGCTATTCCCCCTCCCCCTTTTGTGTGTCATTTGTCCCTCGGTTCTGTTTCGCAAGATAGCTTTTTCTAAGCATAATACCATTACAAGAGATGGTAAGGGTTTAAGTACAGTGCCTCTGGACATTGCTTAAGGTACCAAAAAAGGAGTGAGGGTTCTTTTCATTTGCCTCTCCTTTATTTCTGCCTCCTCTGTGTTGTGTAAACCCAGAACTTGTATGGAAGATTGAATCTGTGAGGGACTTTATGAACAACTTGAAGCTTCTACAATTGGGGTGGGAAGAAATCTCAAACATTAGTACTACCCTTTAGTTACAAATGCTCCTTTCTCTTAGGTGTTTAAATAAAATTTAACTTACTTTTAAAACAAGACAACTGAAAAAAAGGAGAATTATGAAATTTTATTCCTAACTTGTTTGTTTTCCACCTCTAGATACTGTTCTTAGTAAACGAATGAGAAAGAATGAACACATTTTCTACTGTCTACCTCAGTTGACAGTATAGCAAGATCCATATTCTTTCTCTAATTTCTTTTTTGAATGACATTTTTCAGGCCAAAAGGAGCAAAATAAAGTGAGCAAATAGCATATTCTTACACTTGTTTGAATAGTATGTACATTCATTTCTATTTCCAGGTTTCCTATCTTTATTAATAAACAGTGCATGAGTCAGAGGCTTGATGTGTTTACTGGGAAGGAGGAGTTTATCAGCTCTGTGCTGCAAGATGTGTTCAAAAGGAACTTTAATGTGTAGGCTTCTGGATGGAAATTTGTTATGGGCATCAATTTTAAAATGTCTTAATAGGAAAGCCTTCTTCCTATGAGTGGTTTAAAACGCATAGTTCTTTATTGTATGCAGAGAAGGATTTTTTATTCAAATGGAATATACTTTCTTTATATTTTGCTTGTATGCTTACTTGGGTTTAAAAATTATAATAGTTTCACCTTAAAGCATCTAGAAACTACCTATTTGGAATTAGGTAATGAGGGAAGGGAGAAGTCAGATAAAAGTTTTATACTTATATATTTAAGAAATGTTATTAAATATTTCCTATGTGCCCAGTTGAGCACCTTATTTACAGTATAGAGAATAGATTCAATGTGGACAAACTGTAGACTGGAAGAAGGAGACTGATGAGTTTGCTGTTTTAATGCAGGTGAAAGATTGTTATGGCCCAAACTAATGTGTTAGGTGTTAAGCTGGAAGAAAAAATTAAGAGATTAAAAAAAATTTTGATACAGATATAGAAGGTAGTGTAAAATAGATGTGTAGTTCAGTATATTACAAAGTAAGCACCCTTGTAACCACCACTCAGGTCTAGAAATAGAACTTTTACCAGCCACTCATAAGCCAACCAGAAGCCCTCCAAGGTGCAACATCCCAATCAGAACTCTTTCCCTTCTCTCTAAAAGTAT